ATAACACTGCCTTTTCAACTTTAAGTGAAAATCTTAACCTAACAATTTATTAGCTCAAAATGTGCCAATTTTTTTAAAGGACACTAATGAGATGAAGACAATTTTTAAAATCATTTTATTGAGTGCTCAAACAACTCATCACAATCCATACATATATCAATTGTATAAATCACATTTGTACATTCATTACCCTCATCATTCTCAAAACATTCGCTCTCCACATAAGTCCCTGGCATCAGCTCCTCATTCCGCCCCCCCTTCCCAATCTCTCCTCTCTCATAAACCCTTGATAATTTATAAATTATTTTGTCATATCTTACACTGTCCTACATCTCGCCTCACCCACTCCTCTTTGTCCTCCAGGAAGGAGGTTATATGTAGATCCTTGTAATTGGTTCCCCCTCTCTATCCCACCTTCCCTCCAACCTCCCGGTATCGCCACTCTCACCACTGGTCCTGAAGGGATCATCTGTCCTGGATTCCCTGTGCTTCCAGTTCCTATCTGTACCATTGTACCTCCTCTGGTCTAGCGAGATTTGTAAGGTAGAATTGGGATCATGATAATGGGTAGGAAGGAAACATTTAGGAACTAGAGGAAAGTTGTATGTTTCATTGTTGCTACACTGCACGATGGCTCATTTCCTCACCATGAGCCTTCCATAAGGGGATGTCCAGTTGCCCTCATTCACAATGATATGATTTTTTGTTCTTTGATGCCTGATACCTCATCCCTTCAACACCTCATGATCAGACAGGCTGGTGTGCTTCTTCCATGTGGGCTTTGTTGCTTCTGAGCTAGATGGCTGCTTGTTAACCTTCAATCCTTTAAGACCCCAGATGCTATATCTTTTGATAGCTGGGAACCATCAGCTTTCTTCACCACATTTTCTTATGAACACATTTGTCTTCAGCTATCGTATCTGGGAGGTGAGCACACAATGATATGAATTTTTTGTTCTTTGATGCCTGATAACTGATCCCTTCAGCACCTCATGAACACACTGACAGGTGTGCTTCTTCCATGTGGGCTTTGTTGCTTCTGAGTTAAATGACGGCTTGTTTACCTAAAATTCTTTAAGACCCTAGATGCTATATCTTTTGATAGCCAGGCTCCGTCAGCTTTCTTCACCACATTTGTTTCAATGTCCATCTGCTACCTCAATACTAAATCTATAAATATATGCACATAAATCTATTTCCCCATTCTCATATGTAAATATATTTACATATGTACATGCCCTCATTTAGACCTCTATAAATGCCCTTTACCTCCTAGCTCTTTCCTCTATTTCCTTTTACTTTCCTCTTGTCCCACTATCATGCTCAACCATGAAGACAAATTTAAGGCAGGAAAATAGATACCACAATTTTAGAAAAATAGAAAGTTATAATGACATTATTTCATGAACTTTTTGAAGTTCCCCATATCCTGAGAGCACTTGTCTTTAGCCATCCATTTGATTGTCAAGACATGTTTAAGCACATTCTGTTTGGAATAAGCCTGGACATGTGTGAACTGAAATCCTACTGGGCAATATTTCTTTATGTACGATCATGTCTTTAGTCTCTTTCAAGACATTGTCATTGTTAGAGGGTCAAAATCATATGAATTAATTAAAACTGTGAACAATATACAGATTTAGTTTTTGGCTATTGTGTGAATTTCTATGTATCTGATCATTATTTAAATGCAATGTATAAAGCCATTGTATAAATTAAGGAGGTATTTAAAAAATTGTTTTTAGTTTTTCGTACTAAATCTTATTTTGTTGGGGAATGAAACGCGTTAATCCACTGCAACCATTTTACTCATTAAATATATATCCTAATGAATTTGAGTGAGGTAAGCACTCAACTCATGTCATCTTCCCTATTTAATTCTGCATGGACAGAAACCCCTGAGAGCCCAGAGCTGTACGAGGATTAAGTAAGGTTGGGCAATCAACTTAAAATGTAATTTATAGTGATAGCATTATTAGAGAATTGACTCAATACTGATCCTTGAGAAAAATCATACCATTTTAGTAAAGAGGCTCTTCAAAACTTCTATGAAGAATTTCTATTTTTCATGCACTATAGGAGAAGTGTTAAAGATTTTGGAGTCAAAGAACTCATTTAAAAAAAAATTATTTTATTGGGGGCTCGTGCAATTCTTATCACAATCCATACATCCATCCATTGTGTCAAGCACATATGTACATTTGTTGCCCTCATCATTCTCAAAACATTTGCCTTCTACTTTAGCCCTTAATATAAATTACTCATTTCCCCCCTCCCTCACCTCCCCCTTCCCTCATGAGCCCTTCATAATTCATAAATTATTATAGTTTTGTCATAAGTTACACTGTCCGACATCTCCCTCCGCTCTCTTCTCTGCTGTCCATCCCCCAGGGAAGAGGCTATACATAGATTCTTGTAATCGGTTCCCCCTTTCTACCCCACATTCCCTTCACCCTCCAGACATCGCCCCTCTCACCACTGGTCCTGAAGGAGTCATCTATCCTGGATTCCCTGTGTTTGCCTACTGATGGACTTTGAGTCTCCACTCCGCACTCACCCACCTTTACAATGATATGATTTTTTGTTCTTTGATGCTTGATACCTGATTCCTTCGACAGCTCGTGGTCACACATGCTGGTGTGCTTCTTACATGTGGGCTTTGTTGCTTCTGAGCTAGTTGGCCACTTGTTTATCTTAAAGCCTTTAAGATGCTATATCTTTAAGATGCTATGTCTTCAAGCCTTTAAGATGCTAGCCGGCCACTATCAGCTTTCTTCACCACCTTTGCTTATGCACACGTTTGTCTTCAGTGATTGTATCAGGAAGGTAGGCACCCACTGATCTGATTTTTAGTTCTATGATGTCTGATAACTGGTCCCTTCTGCACCTCGTGGTCAGACAGGCTGGTGTGCTTCTTCCATGTGGGCTTTGATGCGTCTCAGTTCTTATCTATGCCATAATCTATGCTATAAATCATGTGCTCTTGGGCAAAAGTAATTTCACTGAGACTTGTTCCTCAAATGAGTACAGGGATGTCTCTCTCAGGAGGCTTCCAAGAGACTTAACTGAACTTATATAGAGAAAGCGTCTGGAAACGGAAGCAGTTTTGAGCAAAGAATCTGAGAAGCTGCACTGTGAACAAGAACATGGCACTGAGACTGAAGGACAGCTATTGAGCAATCCAGTGAGACAGCCTGGCTTGCTGGAAGTGAGGAGGACTTGCAGCACTAACTTATGAAGGTCAAAGACTATGCGCTTCCTTATGGATTGCACCTCGATGAAAAAAATAAGACAAAAAATTCTCACCACTGGTCCAATAAACATCAGGATAAATGGAGAAAAGCTTGCATTTGTTAAAGAATTTAATTTTACTTCTATCCACAGTCAACACCTAGGAAGGAATCAAGAAATCAAATGAGACATTACATTGGGCACATCTGCTGCAAAATAACTTGTTAAAGTATTAAAGTGCAAAGATGTCACTTTGAGGGCTAAGATGTACCTGAAGCAAGCCATGGTATTTTCAATCACCCTGTAAGCATGCACACACTGGACAATGGATGAGGAAAACCAGGGAAGCCCTTTCGACTATGGTGTTGGTGAGGAATATTGAATATATCACACTCTTCCAAGAGAGTGAACATTTCTGTCTGGGAAAGACACCAAACTTGGCAAAATAGAGGAGAGCGAAAAAGAGATAGAGCCTCCAACAGATGGATTGACACGGTGTCTCCAACAATGGGCTCACACAGGTATTATGGTGACGAGGGCAGCAGAACAAAGCACTGTTGCCTTCTTGGTCGCTGTGAATTGCAATCAGCGGAAGGCATTGAACAAGAACAATAAGAGTCAAAGGACGTTTTCTGAGCAATGTCCAACAGATTACTCAAGATGAAATTTATCACTTCTATTTTTTTAACAGATTGGTTCATTTAACATGAATTTTCTTTTCACCTCTCAAAAAACACTTGTTGAATTTTCAACATACAATAACGTTACTTATTTGCTAATTGTGCTAATCTCTATAATGTTTTACTTGGTAGTGTTGGAGTGAAAAATCTATTTCCCCCAACCCTAAAGTCATTGTGACATTGGTGACTGGTTATAGAATGGCCGCTATAGTGATTGTGCTGCTTAGTTGACATCAAGCTAATTTCAACTCATTGGGACCAAAAGTTCAAGAAACCCTGTTCTGTAGACTTTTCTGGGCTGCAATATTTGTAAGAGGAGATCTCCTTGTGTTTCTTCCATGTAGCCTTTGGGTTAAAGACAACTTTAACCAAGCACCAATAGAGCTCCTCCTACAATAATTACTCAAACAGTTGTGCTGTGCACGAGAGAGGAGACAACACAGGATTGCTTAGTAACATTTATCCAAAGGATCAAGAATCTCATTTTTTGAGATGGGGATCAGCAGAGAAGTGGAAAAACTATTCTACTGAATCATTTGTGCTACTGATAAGTATGAAATGTAAGGTTTACATTAAGTAATATTTGCAGAAAACCATGATATCTTGCCCCCTTGTGCTCAGAATAGTCACTTTATGCAGAATGCAGTTAATTAGTACTTCAAAGGCAAGAGCTAGCTGCATCAATCACTGAAGTAGTATATTCACATTTGTTCTCAACCCAGTAACTATAAAAATTAAGTGCTATTACTGAAGAAACATTCCATTATTTATGAAATTGGATTTTAAACTATTTTAACATGTTAAGAATACTGTATGCTTGAAAAAAAAGAACACCACATACTTCTTTGTATTAATTTTGCTTTGGTCAGAAATATGCTTTTAGATGGCATGTTATACCCAACTTCTCACCACTCTTATGTAAAATCTTTTTAGGAACATTTTGGATTTCATGGTCTCAAATTTCTCTAAAAACCAAAGAGGTTCTAATTGAATGTAATTATTTTAAATGGGAAGTGTTTTATTATTTAACATGTAATGAATTCAGTAAAATAACATATCAATGTTAAATACTGATTTTTTTAATTCTAGGATTTGAAGAAGGTTCTGCAGAAAAATGCTGTGGCGTATGTTAGCCTCCATGACCCCATACGGGGCAACTCCAGCCTCCACCCTGTGGCCTCCCCTTCTCTTCAACAACTCATAGCTGAGGTAACATTCACCCCTGCCACGTAAATGATTGTGCCAAACTGTCCTCTTCTCCCCAATTTGAAATTTCCTGAGTTTTTAAAACTTCTCTTTAGATCTTTGTATATTGGTTTTAAGGCATGATCAATTTCTGAGTTTCTCTCAATATTTCTTCTGCTAATTATGTAGGTCCATATCTCACAATTATTAATTTGGTAATTTTTTTAAAGATCATAGGTCTAAGAGTTGTGCATTATACATTTAAAGAGAAGGCATATAAAATGTTTATTGTTTTTAATGAATTCATAGTCCCATTTTGGCCAGGCTTGATATTTTGTGGTTAACTAGATTACTTGTGGATTTCTTTTCCCTCGTTCATGGTGTTACTAAATGAGATCTGTCCTATCTTTTCAGCTACTTTATAAGCCCCTGAGAGAAAGATCTGTGCCTGATTCCTAGACTGTAGTGTTGAGGTTAAGCTATTCAGCAAACATTGTTTGAAAAATTATTTACAGAAAAGAAAAGCATGTGTTTCCTGCAAAGCAACTTGGAAAATGCTAGAGATGTGCTGATGTTTCACTTGAGTAATTTATTTTTTGCAATTTTGTCATGTGTTGCTTGTTTTACAAAAAAATTAATAGAATGTTTTTACTTTTAGTACAGCCACACTTTTATGTTGTTTTATTTTGATGATTTCCAACCTTGAAATACATGAGTGGTTTTTTTCTCAGTAGAGAAGCAGTTATACCACCACTGGTAAAGGTGGCTTCCTCCCAGCCGCAGCATCTATTATGGATAGTGGAAACGACCTTTCAGATGCGCACAGGGCTTTCATGAGCATCACAGGAACAGAGCTAGAGAAGGAGGGTGATAATGAACAGTGCTTTAGATTAGCCACCATTCTGATGGAAATATAATGCAAACTAACATTTTATGACTGTTGTAAAGTATTTTCTAGTTTACTAGTTTTCATTGACATTTCCATTTGAAGTATAATAAAGAAGACATTATGAAAGATGAAATGAGTAAATCTACTCGTTTAGGATCAGCCAAATCCCAGTGTTCAGACCTTAATTCAGACCAAGATTTGAGAGCTAATTTCTCGAGCATTGTGAACTGCTTTGACTTTTCACTCACTTTACTTTACCTTCCTTGGAAAACTCAAAAGGATTGTCGATATCTCTCAGGGAAAATTAATATATTTCTACCTAAATGGATTGGCAGAAAGCATGAGTTCAGGAATCTAGGAATTGGTGAGAGTTACTGGAAACACTATAGTTTTCCCTTTCATGTGTTGTGATTTACCTATTTTGAGAGTTTTATAGGATATGTAATCATTGAAATTAATAGGTAAACAGCAATAACAAACAGGAAGTATCAAGTCTGTAGAATATCAATTTTGGGAATAGAATATTATTTAAGATATATAACCTCAAAGTAATTTATGTGAATTAATTAAAATTAACCCTTATGGCACTTAAGATTTATGTTTCTAAAAATAGTTTTATTGATAATATCAGAATACATATAATTTCATTTACGTAGAAAAATAATTTTGTCAAATTTCAAAGAAAAATATTTAATCAGTAACTTGCATTCTGTTACTATATAAACCTGTCCAAACACACAGACAAAAACAGTACAAAACAAATAGAAATGATAAATGACTTCAAAATGATTTCTTTCTAAATAGAACAATATTTTCTATGAAGAAGCCATAGGTCTAAATTGTGGATAAGCTGTAAGCGCATCTTATACTCTGTATGAATATCTGTAGATTCCATGAGATCTTCCTAGGTTGAAATGGTGATCTTAAGTTTAAGTGATGAAATCATAAATCATTTACACTTTGACAATAAAAGGACACATTTAGAATGTTTCATTGTTGGTATGATTGACATGAACCCAAAATATGAAATATTTGTCCTAAATCAAATGGTAGTTTAATCTAGCATTCATAGTATGATGTCCAAATCAAGAAAGCAAGTTTTATGTCCATCAAATTACAGCTTGTTTTAGAGTTTTTTGTGTATGATAAATTTCAGGAATTTATACTAAGTACAATTTGTAATTAGTAAAAGCCTCCCTTTTCAAGTTTACAGCACAATGACATTTAATAAATGGGCACAATCACCTAGACAGCATCATGGCCAAGATATTGAGCATCTCCACCACGCAAACAAGGAGCCCAAATCCCTGTGGGGTATTGCTTCTGTAGATTAGTTTTAAAAAAAATCATTTTATTGGGGCTCGTACAACTCTTATCACAATCCACACATACATCCATTGTGTCAAGCACATTTGTACATTTGTTGCCCTCATCATTCTCAAAACATTTGCTTTCCACTTTAGACCTTGGTATCAGCTCCTCACTTTTCCCCTCCCTCCATGCTCCCCCCTCCCTCATGAACCCTTGATAATTTATAAATTATTATTATTTTGTCATATCTTACACTGTCCGACATCTCCCTTCACCCACTTTTCTGTTGTCCTTCCCCCGGAGAGGAGGTTATATGTAGAGCCTTGTAAATTGTTCCCCCTTTCCACCCTACCTTCCCTCCACCCTCTTGGTATTGCCACTCACACCACTGCTCCTGAAGGGATCATCTGCCCTGGATTCCCTGTGTTTCCGGTTGCTATCTGTACCACTGTCCACTGTGGATTACTTTTACCATCTTTGGTTTTCGCCATTCTCTTTTGTTCTTGAGAGAGTAAATGGATCTCCCATGGCTGTTCACTTTTAAATCTGAGACACTACTCAAACTAGGATGTAGAACATTATCTATATAAAATATGATATCCCAATAGAGTATTTTGATAAAAAGATGGGGCTTTCTACTTCTGTAAAAAGGTACAGACTTGGAAACTCCCAGAGGCAGTTCTACCGGTCCTTCCCAGTCATATGAGTCAGCATGACTCGATGACAGTGAGTTTGTTTTGATGGTTTGGGTTTGGTTCGAGTTTTTAGCAAAGACGAATAGAGTTGTTTTGATTGTTTTTGTGTTTTGGTAACAGGAATACATCCGTTTCTCTTTGATCTTTATCTTTCTAGAAGTAAAATTGGTAGGTCATCGGGTAGGGACCTGTTTACTTATGTTGTGGTGCTGCCAAGTTAGGTACAAATCCTAGCGACCTTACACAAATGAAAACACTGCCCAGTCCTGTTCTAGCCTCACAAGGTTGATCAGGGAGATTGATTGTGGTTGAAGCCCTTCAGTTTCCCTAGGATTTGAACTGGTCCCATTGATAGTTCAGTGATGAGAAGCATGTTTATGAAATACTGAAGATGGTGAGGCTGTTTAGGTTCACCCAAGGTTTAGGATGGAATTTGGGCTCTGACTCACTGAAAGCAATAGCATGCGGACCAAATGCCCTGTGGCTTTAGGACTTAACGAATACGTTATCAGAATGAATATGGAAGAAGAATGTCTTTTTTACCCCATGTTTTCAAATCTGCCCCACCCCCTCAATTTTAATTTTTGAATTATTTGGGGGTTTTACCTTTCACCAATCAATATTCAGTTCAACAGTTTAAAGCACCCCACTGACTTATCCTACTCTCCTCCTTGAAATTTTAGAATGATCTTTCTTTAAAAACAAAACCCCTTTAATAAATAATTCCTCTTGATTCTTAAAGGTACAGCAAAGGAGGCCCAGTTCAGCAGCTTCTTAGTTAATGAAACATGACTGCCTTCAATTTATCAAAATAAAGATAAAATAAGACTTTCCACCCAATAATAGTTTTGAACATTAGGATATAACACAAACACATGCATACTTTTCTCTGTATGATGCTGTTTCATCCTTAGTTTGTGAAATCATCCTTCATCGACCATAGAACATATTGATTTTGCCTTTAGAACAACAGAATTTGATAACATATTATCAGTTGGTGCTCTGTAAGTCTCAAGTAAATCGTGGTGACATTTCTAAGAGTTTATTTTGTAAAATGCCTGCAGCTTTTGTGTAGATGAAAGCAGTCAATCTAACCATATTCTTCTTAAATGTTGCTTTTGTAGCACCAACCAGAAGATGGCAAACGTGATGAAAGCTAACTAATGTCGTCAATATTGCAAAACTCTCCAGAAGACAGAGAGTGTTTTGTTGCTGTTGCTCTGTTTTTTAATTCATTGTTTTAGCCTCTTAAAATAGAAAAAGTGAATATGTGTTACATTTTCACAGTATTTATCTTTATTTTAAATTTCACATTTTTAAATATACCAAAATCTATCCAACAGAAATTTTAGTACATCCAATATTTCTCAACGCAACTACTTTTTAGAGCATCGCATTAAGAACCTTAATATTTTTACCCATACATTATTAATACTCCAGTGGTTTTCAGAGATAGGTAGGTTGTTTATACCTTTCAAATCTTCCACAATTTCAATCATTTCTTCATTTGTCATGATATCCCAATTGGTCCGGTTGTGGGGATTTTGATCCTTTTTACGTTGGGTTGAAGGCTGCAATCCTTAATATTCATCAGCAGGTGTTTCACGTCCTCCTGTCTCAGCAAGGCTCACTCATCTGGATAACACAGGTTGCTAATATTTTCCCTCCAATCCTGATACTTTGTTCTTTTTCATATAGTCCAGGTTTTACTATGATATGTTCATCACTCATATTGGGTAAGTACGGTCAGAGGATCTGCTCCTGCCCCAGGCAGCTTTCATAACTCGACACCATGTATCGTTTCCTTGTTCTCTTCAATTATCTGCCCCTTGTTTCTCCATGAGCGTCACAAAGTGTTTTAGAATTCATACTCTTGTATTCTTCTCAGTGTTCCCCATCCTTTGTTATGATCCACACAATAAAGTGCCTTTGCCTTTTCAATGACATACAAGTACTCATCTTTGTTGGCATTCTTTCTTCAGCCATGATTCATGTCAGCAGTGAGATCCCCCAGAGTATGACTCATTCCGAATCTGGCTTGAATTTCTGGCCTTATGGTGGGAAAGCACTTTTACATCCAGTTTGAAATTATTGTCTGCGCATTTGTAACCGCACGTGCTATTAACAGT